AAGCTGCCACTTGCAGTGCGGGCATCCCACATGGGTGCCAGTTCGAGTCCTGGCTGCTCCATTTCCAATTCAGCTCTCTGCTATGGCCTGCAAAAGCAGTAGAAGATGGCCCAAGTCCTTGGGCCCCTGTACCTCCCTGGGAGACCTGGAGGAAGCTCCTGGTTCTTGGCTTCAGATCAGCCCAGTGTTGGCCCTGTGGCCATTGCAGCCATCTGGAGAGTGAACCCACGGATGGAAGACCTCTCTCTCTCTCTCTCTTTCTCTCTGCTTCTCCTTCTCTCTGTGTAACTCTGTCTTTCAAATAAATAAGTAAATCTTAAAAAAAAAAAAGTTAAATGAGGTCCTATGCATGAGGCCTTAATCCAACAGGACTGGTATCTTCATCAGGAGAGGAGACCCCAGGCAGGTGGCTACAGAGAGGAAATGCCATGTGAACACACAGGGAAAAGTCACCGTGCAAGCCAAGGAGAGAGACCTCAGCAGAAGCCAAACCCGCTGGCCCCTCGGTCTCAAGCTCCCAGCCTCAAGAGCTGTGAGAAGCAAAAGTCTGTTGTGTAAGCCACCCAGGCTGTGGTCTTGTTCCGACAGCCTGAGCTGACCAGTTCATGCTCCCTCTCTGTATTCTGTTCCAACTCACTAACATCAGGAATTCCTTGAGGCCCAGGGGAGAGGCCTGCCTTGCCCACAGTTCTGGAATTCCAGGCAGCTTTGGGCCTCAGCTCCATCTGTGGACCACGGAGGGATGATTGGAAGTGAAAGGTGCTGTGACTAGAGACGGGGTCGGGAAAGTGGATCTCCACCTGGAGTAAGCCACAGTACATTTATGCTTGTTGGAAATGGGTGGAGAATGGAAAGTGGCCAGCTGGCGGCTAAGAGTTAAATAGCGCACATTTCCAGGCCTGACTCCCCCAGAACATTTTCTTCCTGTCTCTGTGGGATTTTGATTCTTTTTTTAAAAAAAATATTTATTTTGTTTATTTGAAAGGCAGAGCTACAGAAGGAAGTAGAGAGAGAGAGAGAGAGAGAGAGAGGTCTTCCATCTGTTGGTTCACTCCTCAAATGGCTGCAATGGCCAGAGCTGGGTTAATCCGAAGCCAGGAGCCTGGATCTTCTTTCAGGTCTCCCATGTGGGTACAGGAGTCCAAAGACTTGGGCCATCTTCTACTGCTTTTCCAGGCCATAGCAGAGAGTGGCTGGGACTCGAACCGGTGGCCATAGGGAGTGCCAGCACTGCAGGCTGCAGCTTTACCTGCTACACCACAGCATCGGCCTTGGATTTTGATTTTTTAGTTTCCTTTGTCTCTCTTCTTGAAGCCAGACACCAAATCTTGGTCATCCTTGGGTCCTCACAGTGTTGGATAAAGAGGAGACTCAGTTAATTCATTCAGCAAGCACTTGCTGGGCATATACTACATGCCAGTCACCAGACCACTCAAAACTGAATTGTACTGAATTAATTTCAGAGAATTTTGAAATCAATACAAAAACTTGGCTAAACAGTAAAGTCATTTTGAGTATAGTAGCTTGAATACAAGCCATCTACTAAGACTAGGGTAAAAAAAAAAAAAAAACAGACTGATGCTCTCAAGGAGTCCTTAGACAGTGGCTTCAGAGGGAAGGGGATTCCTTGCCCACAGGGACTGCATCCCCAGACCCCCAGCAAATGCCTAAAGACACAGGTAGTACTGAACTCTCTCGCTGGACCAGCCAGGGATGCTGGTTTCCCCATACAATTTCAACCTCAAGGATTACCATTTTTCCAAGCATGATGGGTTCTTTTACACTTTAATCAGATGACAAGCCAAATAAAGCAAAGATAGTTCCCAAATTAATCAGTTAATTGCAAAGCTTACAGAAGCAAAAGGAATATATGGGAAGATAGGCAAAAACAGGTTAAAGAAAAATTTTTAAAGATTTACTTATTTATTTGAAAGGAAGAGTTGGAGAGAGAGAGAGGGAGAGAGGGAGAGGGAGAGAAGGGGGAGAGAGAGAGGGGGGAGAGAGGGGGAGAGAGGGGGAGAGAGAGGGGGAGAGAGAGAGATCTTTTATCTGCTGGTTCACTCCCCAGATAGCTGCCATGATCTGGGCTGGACCAGGTGGAAGCCAGGAGCCAGGAGCTTCTTCCTGTTTTCCTGTGTGAGTGGCAGGGTCCCAAGCACTTGGGCCATTCTCCACTGCTTTTGCAGGCACATTAGCAGGGAGCTGGGCCGGAAGTGGGTTAGCCAGGACTCGAACTGACACCCGCATGGGATGATGGCATCCCAGGCAGTGGTTTAAACTGTTACGCCACAGCGCTGGCCCCTAAAGAAAATCTCTTAAATACAGAGTGCTAATTATGAACCAAACACCATGCAGCCTTGGAGGAAGTTTTCCAAATGGCCCAGAAAAGCACACTGCTTCAAGACAATGCTAGAATGGGTTCCAATTATGTCAGGTACCAACACTGACTTTCGGGGCTGAGTCTCTGGTAGCCGATGCCTCTTCAGAGTGGAGTCACAGCCAGATGTGCTTCCAATGGCAGTCTGAAGGCACTGCGATTTACTGCCCCAGAAGATGAATTATCTTGGCTTCCAGATGTCCACTTTTTCACAGGAAAAAGTCCTGGATCCAAACCATCTTATTTGCATGTGGACGCACAGCTGTCCGAGTGGCAGATCCGTCTGCCAGAGTGAAGTAACTGCTTCCTTGCTACAGCGAGCTGCTTGGCTCAGTTTCTGCTTGTGTTATAGGGAAAGATCAACATGGAGTTAGTGCTGTCAAAGCACAGCCATGCGAATCCTAGGTAATACACCAATTTACTTGGAATCATAATGGGGCAAAACGCACATTGCAACGCAAGCCCTGTGTATACTCCATTTTTTCCTGCACACCCATAGACCATGATAAAGTTTAATTGATAAGGTAGGCACTGTAAGGGATTAACAACAATAAGAGAAGAAAATAGAACAGTAATAACAGTAGACTGTAAGGAAATTGCCGCATCTCTGCTTTTGTGCTTCGGGGCCGTTATCAATGATGATAAAGCTTCCTGAACACAATAACTGCAGTTATCATCCAGTTCCTCTGATGACCACGACGGCTACTCAGCAACTACAGGGAAGGTGTTGGAGAATCCCTAGAACCCGGATCTGCTCACTGGACATGCAGCGAGCCCATTGCTGACCACGCAGGTGGTGGGAGAGGGGCAGGTGTTGGAGAGTCCCAGGCAGGTGGTGGAAGAAGAATGTAGGTGTTGATTGCAGAACGCAGAGCAAGGAGCCAGGCAGCAGCTGGGCTCAGGTGCCCACAGAGCAAGTTAGAGTTGAGAGGGTGCGTGTTCAGCTCAGCTCCGACTCCCTGGTTGGTCTGTAGAGCTCCAGCTTTGCGTTGTTGGTCAGCAGCATCCTGTTTTGGGAATTTTTGATGATGGCTAAGTGGGCTCTCCAGGGAGTCAGGAGGTTTTTACTCCTTGCTCAAGGCCTCGGTTTCCTGGAAAAACCTTCAAGCCAAGACCAAATATCAAGATGTCATCTACAGGGGAGGTGAATGACCTTGTGAGCCTTGTGTGCAGGGACCCTGTGGGGGAAGGCTGCACCCCTCCTGTAGTTTAGTGAGTGAGTTTTAGTAGGAGGTTTATTGCCAAAGAAGCATTTCACTCAGAGGGTGTCAGACTAGGGTCTGGCCGTATCCAGGGTCTGTATTAAAGGCACAAGGGACAGGGGCTCAGTTTCATCCATAGCATGGATACTCTGGACAGAGGGATGATCCATGTCCTGGGCTACAGGGGGGTGGGATGGGGCAAACACAATTCAAAACTTAGGGATTGTTTATATCTAGAATTTTCCATGAAGTATTTTTGGGCCACCATTGACCATGGGTAATTTGGAAACATGGAAAGCAAAATGGTAGATTACTGTACAGAGCCTCCCATGGTCTTGCCCCCGCAGGCCAGTAGTTGGAGCATAAGGCAGGAAAGGTTGGCAATGAAAGGAGATGCTACTTCCTTATTGCCACTGGAAAGTCAAATGTAAGCCACTCACAGACCAGTGCCAGCGGCTTCACTGGCGGCAGGAGATGAATCCTGTGTGTTGCCATCACCAGTCTTGTCTGTGGCCACCTGCTGCCCAGGAGCCAGGTATTGGTGGCAACCGACATGAGCCCCACCACTGGGGCTTTTGCCCTGGGTAGATGAGACACTCTGAGAGCCAGAGTTGCAGCAAGGAAACTGCTGCTTCCTGGTCACAGGAAGATGAATTTGGGAAGTGTGTAGGGATCCTCTGAGGATTCCAGGTGGGAGGAGGTTCTGGGTGGCTGGGGCTGCTCCCTGTCCAGAGCAGGTGCAGGAATGTTGGATGTGCAGTATGAGATGATGCTGTCTTACATCCAGGCTGAGAAACCAGGTTGCTTGAATAGAAGTTATTTTTTTTTCAAGGTTTGTTTGCTTGAAAGGCAGAGGGACAGAGAGAGAGGAAGAGACAAAAAAGGAGAGAGGTCTTCTATCTGTGGGATCACTACCCAAATGGCTACAACTGCTGGGGATAGGCCATGCCAAAGCCTCCCATGGGTGGCGGGAGCCCAGCTACTTGGGCCATCTTCTGCTGCTTTCCCAGGTACATTCGCAGGGAGCTGGATTGGAAGTGGTCCTGGCGCCCATGCAGGACGCCAGCATTGCAAGTGGCAGTTTAATCTGCTGGGCCACAATACAGGCCTGTCATATTTTTATTAAAATAATTCAGAGGTTACTTTTGGAACACAGGTTCTTTGAGAGCTCTCATCATTAAGGTCGTTTATTATGACCAGATCATAAGAAAAAAAATACTATCATATATCCTGGTGTTTAGATTTGATATAAATAGGAATTTCCTTCATCAAAACTACCTCCATATTCTCCTGGTCAAAGCACAACTGGATAAAAGAACCATTATGCTTAGCAGAAGCAGAGTGATAGCATTCACGCCCGGCCTCGCAGGGGTCGTAATTATCCCTGTGCAAACATGAAGCGCACCCCCCTCCCACCCCAACCCCTGCTTTATGGTCTCAGCCTTAGTTTTTGTACCTTTTGGATTAGGAAAAGATTTTCTTTGGCTTTTGCAAGAAGTCAATCTCTCAGGAAACAACTGAATTGACTTCATGTTTGTTTAAAGTGTCCTTGGGTAGCAACTTAACATCTGCATTTCCTCAAGACCAGGGAAGGAACGAAGAGAGAGAGTTCTGCACTGTGTGTTATTCAGATGAGCAGGAGAACGTCTGAGTCCTCCATCCCGAAAAATGGTCCTCTCCCAGTAATACCTTAAGACCTGTTAAGGATTTCAGAGCATTTTGCAGCTTTGCAGCGCTCGGGACACTTCTTGCTTCACGGTGCACATTCTTACATAGCAGTTATCTGGAGAGCCTCCAGCCAACTAGCCCTCATTACCTAATTAGAGGAAAGGTTTCCTGTTTTTCATGTTTTATGTTAGAAAAAAAATACACTTGAATAGACTGAAGCGCAATCAGTTAATAACGGCCTTTTATTAAGCATCTGGTATGTGCTGGGCATTGTACTAAATTCTTTGAAATCATTATAGTGTCTCTTCTAATAAGCACACTATTAGGTAAGCTAAAAAAAAGTTTTAAATTCACCCACCCTCCTAAAATTTCCTAGTGAGTTAAAAAGAAATTTCCAACCCATGCAGAATGCCATCCAAGCAATTTTAACACAAGTACGTATTTCTACTATTCCTTTCCCAGTTTTTTTTTTCCAGTTTTTATTTTCTATCAACTACTTCCTAATGTTACACAAATGAGATGAGATGTCTTATCAGGAAAAGTAAGCAGTTTGCTGGCATGCTTGATTTCTGTATCCCCTCTCTTTTTCAGTGCATAGCAGTTTAGTTTTATGTGGCACACGTATCTTTAGTTATTTTATTCCTGGAAGTGGGTCAATTTGTTTTGGAAATGTAAGGCCCAGAATATTAGGAAAATAGAAAGCTGAAAAATGTAGAAGAATGTAAGATGATTATTTTTGGGCATAAAGAACACAAGGGTGTGGAGAGGCTACTTCAAAATTATCTTGTTTAAACAATTACTGATTTGAAAGACAGAGACTGAGAGAGAGAGATCACACATCTGTTGTTTCTTTTCCCAAATGTTCAAAAGAACCAGGGCTGGGCCAGGCCAAACTCCAGGAGCAGAGAATTCAGTGTGGGTCTCCCAGGTGGGTAGCAGGTACTCAAGGACTTGGGCCCTCACAAAGCACATGCCAGGGTGTGCATTAGCAGGAAGCCAGACTTGAGAACGAGCAATTTGAAATGGGGTGTGGGCACCCCAGGCAGCATCTTACCCTCTGTGCCAAACTCTTGTCCATCCAAAATGATCTTTGAATAATGTGAAGGAATATTTTAGGAGGTGCTTAGTGGTCTATCACCCAGTACAGGGAAGACAGGCTAGAGCAAGAGCAGTTAGACGTAAAGGACTCTAACCAGCGCAGAGAAGCCGTGGAGTCCGTGGAGCCCTGTGAATCTCTCCAGACTTGGAGAAGGAGGGGAGAAGGGCAGGTAACCACACCAGGAGACAAGGCCAGCACCGCTTAAATGCTTGAGCCTTCTTACTTGAATAGCACTATGCAATGGAAGATGTTTAGTCTAGTAATAAAGAAAAATAGCAAATAGGATTCCTATTTGATCTGTTTCAATTTTAATTGATTTTCATTTTATTTGAAAGGCAGAGAGAGCTAGAGAGAGAGAACCATCTTCTGGTTCACTTCCCAAATGCCCTTAACAGTCGGATCCAGGCCTGGCTGAAGCAAGGAGCTGGAACCTAGTCCAGGTCTCCCATGCGGGTAGCAGGGGCCCATGTACTTCACCTCCCAGGTGCACACTAGCAGGAAGCTGGACTCGGGGGCAGAGTTAGGACTCAAACCCAGGCACCCTGATATGGGATGCCGGTGGCCCCAGTGGGAGTCTTAACCACCATAACAAATGCCCTCTCCCTATTTGTTCTTTTAGCATTGATCAAACAAGACATAACTGTTAGCTCTCTTCAGTGTGTCATTGAAATTAAGGTTTCAGAGTAACATGCATGTATGGTCCTTTGGAGAACGGGAAGAAAGAAATCCAACAGTAACTTGCTGCCTGGGAGCTCCCTGGAGCCCCGGCAGATGCTGCAGGAGACCCAGGTCTGTGGAAGTAGCGTAATTCCCGCTCGCTCCTACTCCAAAGTCACGCAGAGTCAGTTTCAGAAGTGGGCAATTTACATTTATGGACTGGGTCAAGCACAGTGGACAGCTTAAGCGAGCACTGAATGAATGGGGACATAAAGACGTTGGGGCCAATAAATGGTCATATTTATGGAGTGCAGTAAAACCTCTATCTCTTTCCACTTGGAGAAATCTTGCCAAGTGTATCGAATGCAGTGGCCACGATATTGAGTGCTGAAACCACAGGCCAGGCGAACTCAGCTCTTGAAATTGAACTTCCAACTTCCATAGTGCTATTTCAGATGCACTTGAATAGTCACTAACTCCATAGCAGTGAATAGACAATAGATGGGAACACACACAAAAACCAACCAAAAACAACAAGCAACCACCCCCCCTCCCCCGGGTCCTTTTAAACGCATACATACATTTCCAGAATCTGTGTGGAGCTGCCAAACTCAGCCTAAGTTTTGAGAAAACATTCTCCGTATGTAGCTTGATAGGAAGAGAAGGATTAAGACAGACTTCAAGTAATAAAAAAACATGGAAGCCATTCCGCGGCACAGCACTCACTTCTGTTTTGTTCATTCCAGTGGATTCTGCTTCGGTAGTCTTGGAGGTGCGGTAAAGGTAGCTGTTTGATCTTTTCTTTCTTTCTTTCTTTTTTTTTTTTTTTTTTTTTTTTTCGACAGGCAGAGTGGACAGTGAGAGAGAGACAGAGAGAAAGGTCTTCCTTTTTGCTGTTGGTTCACCCTCCAATGGCCGCCGTGGCCAGCACGCTGCGGCCGGCGCACCGCGCTGATCCGATGGCAGGAGCCAGGAGCCAGGTGCTTCTCCTGGTCTCCCATGGGGTGCAGGGCCAAGCACTTGGGCCATCCTCCACTGCACTCCTGGGCCACAGCAGAGAGCTGGCCTGGAAGAGGGGCAACCGGGACAGAATCCGGCGCCCCGACCGGGACTAGAACCCGGTGTGCCGGCGCCGCAAGGCAGAGGACTAGCCCAGTGAGCCGCAGCGCCGGCCTGATTTTACTTTCGTTTAGTCTCCCAAATGCAGGACGTACAACCCTCCAGCGTGCTCTGGTGCACATGCCAGGCTCGCACTGCCAAGGTGGAATTGTAAACAGCAGCAAGTTAACCAAGCTAGAGAATTGAAGTCGACAAGAGACATCCAAGGGTAGGTCCTTCTCAGCCTTTCCACGGGTCACAGTAAGTGAACGCCACTTCTCCATGGATTTTAAGTCTTCTGTCTTTTTAATTAATTGATTGGAATTTGAAAGGCACAGAGACAGACACAGAGAGATCTTCCACTGGGTGAAATGTGCAGGACATCCAGGGCTGGGCCAGGCGAAAGTCAGGATACTGGAACTCCTACACAGGGGTGGAGGGTGCAGGGGTGGGGCAGCGGGTGGCGGGTGGCGGGGCAGTGCGGGGTGGACAGGGACCTGCCGTCTAGCGCCTCCCAGTGTGCACATTAGCAGAAGGCTGGAACTAGGAGCAGGCGCTCAAGCCAGGGGAATCTAACAGGAGATGTGGGGAGCGCAATACCAGCTTAACAGCCACACCACATGCCTGCCCCTGGAAATACATCTAAAATTTTCAACATTTACTTGAAAGGTAGAGAAAGGGAGAGCTCCCAAATGCCTGCAAATCGCAGGGCTGAAGCTGGGATCCAGGAACTCAGCTGTTTGCCCTCTTACCTGCTGCCTCCACGGGTCTACATTAGCAGGAAGCTGGAATGAAAAACTCAAGCAGGGCCTTGTTTTTTGCACAGGCAGAGTTAGAGAGAGAGAGAGAGAGAGACAGAGAGAAAGGTCTTCCCTCGTTGGTTCACCCCCAAAAAGGTCACTACAGCCAAATCCAAAGCCAGGAGCCAGTCTCCCACGGACTTGGGCCATCTCCCACTGCCTCCCTGGGTCACAGCAGAAAGTTAGACTGGAAGAGGAGCAACTTGGACAGAGCCCAGCACCCCAACTGGGACTAGAACCCGGGGTGCTGGCGCCACAGGTGGAAGATTAGCCTAGTGAGCCATGGCACCAGCCCCGGAGCAGGTCTCAGAAGCTGACACTCCTATGTGGGATGCAAGTGTCTCAATCAGCATCTTAACTGATAGGCTAAATGCCTCCCCCTTTTGGAAATATTTTGACATTGTTTTCTACATCTCCAGCTCACTAGAGATTCTAAAATTCCTAGGAAAAATAAAATGAGATTCTGATAATTCATGTATATCAAATCTCACACTTTCCTTATTAATGCCAATTGTGTTTAATTTCACAATTATAGATCTCAACAAACTTCAACATTTACTTTTTCCACTCCTAAGAAGTAGATGAAAGGCTCTAGTTTTTAGCAATTAATTAAATACTATCATATCTGATTGATCAAAGCAAACTAGGAAATAATTTTTGTTAACTTGCAACTAATTTCAAATTGGGGAAAGTTGCAAGAATTTGAATACTAATGAATTCTAGAAGGGGTGGAGTTGCCTGCAATGCTGCATCCCATTTAGGAGTGCAGGTTTAAGTCCCAATACTCTGCTTCCATCCAACTCCCTGCCATTGCACCTGGAAAAGCAGTGGATGGTAGCCTAAGTACTTGGGCCCCTGCCACACACATGGAAGACCTGGGTAGAGTTCCTGGCTCTTGGCTTTGGCCTGGCCCAATGTCTGTTGCAATTGTTTGGGGAGTGAACCAGTGCAGGAAAGATCTGCCTCCCTGTTCCCCTCATCACTCTGCCTTTCAAATAATTAAATCTGAAAAAAAAAAAAAAAGAATATGAACAGTATAAATAACTCCTTTATGTGCCTTTACCAGGTTTATCAATTGTTAATATGTTGGGCAGTTGGTTTTAGGTCCACACAATGACTCATAAAAAATGGATTAACCTGGTTCCTTCTGATTTGGGACTTCCTGTCATACAGAGATGTAGACCAAAGCACCTGCATTAGTAGTTACACGTGTTTGGTAGACTACAACCAAAACCACTTCTCATGCTCATGTTATTGATTTATGCTTTCCCCCTGTTTTCAACAAATTATTAAATCTAAATCATATGCTTGTTAAAACATTGCCTGGGTAGTCCACTCCCAACAGCTTGGCTAACTTTACACATATTACAAGGCTGAACTTTGGGCTCTAAGTGCCAAATTGAAAAATAAAATTCCAGGCCTTTCAATACAGAAGAAAATATATGAAAGCCATAAACTTCCCCAGATTTCCCAGCTTTGGCTCTTGCACTCCCTCTTCTGGCTAAAAGTTGCCCTGAAGACAGTTCAATTAAACATGATGGGATGGGAGATGGAGTAGGAGATGGGATGGTTTGTGGGTGGGAGGGTGGTCATGGGGGAAAAACTGCTATAATCCAAAAGTTCTACTTTCGAAATTTATATTTATTAAATAAAAGTTTTCAAAAAAAATAAAAACAAACAAAAACATCATGACTATTAAAACAATTATGTGGGGGCTGGCACTGTGGGATCACGGATGCAGTGCCAGCATCTCATATAGGCGCCGGTTTGGGTTCTTGCTGCTCTACTTCTGATCCAGCTCTCTGCTGTGGCCTGGAAAAGCAGTAGAAGATGGCCGAAGTCATTGGGCCCCTGCACCCTCACAGGAGACCTGGAATAAGCTCCTGGTTCCTGGCTTCAGTTCAGCACAGCTCTAGCTGTTGTGGCCATCTGAGGAGTGAACCAGCGGATGGAAGATCTCTCTCTCTCTCTCTCTCTCTCTCTGCCTCTCCTTCTTTCTCTGTGTACCTCTGACTTTCAAATAAATAAATAAATCTTTAAAAAATACAATTATGTGATACAGAACCAACAGAGCACCACTGTAGATTTAAACAAAAGGAGGAAGGGCATTGAGATTATGCTGGTACAAATGTCCTGCATCCACAGGAGAAGGCGATGTACAAGATTAGAAAAAGAAGATGACTGCAAAGCTGGGAGGACATCTTCTGCTTACCTAGAACGTCCACCCGTGAAGCCCACGTCAAGGTCATATGGCCAGTTGACGGAGACAGGGGAGAAAGAGGGGGGATGAAGGCTGGGAGGGAGGTATCAGGCACCAGGAGTAATCACCTGATATTGCTGATCTTTAAAACTTAGGAAACCTTTGCCCAAGTAGCCACCTCTGCAATCCAGGTTCCTTGAAGGCAGGAACTGAGTCCAGTTTATCTTAGTGGCATGCGTAGGCTGCACAGTTTCTTATTCAATGAATTGAGAGTGACGGGGCTGTCATTGTGGCCCAGTGGTTAAGCCACTGCTCAAGCACGCTGGCATCCCATTTTGGAATGCCTGGGATTGAGTCCCGCCTCTGCTTCTGACCCAGCTTCCTGCTACTGCCTGCTCTGCGAGGCAGCAGACGGTGGCTCACTTCCTTGGGCCCTGCCACCACTGGGGGAGACCGGGATGGAGTTCCTGGTTTCTGGCTTTGACCTGGTCCAGCCTCGGCTGTTCTGGGCATTTAGGGAGTGGATAGAAGATCTCTCTCCCTCCCTTATCCTCTCTCTCTCTGCCTTTCAAAAAAAAAAAGAGCAATTACCACATGAAGTCTGCTGGTAGTAGTTTCATACTAAATGAGTAGATTTTAGTGGCTTTTGCCACAAAACCAAAAAAAAAAAAAAAGGGTGACTATGTGAGACAACAGGTATGTTAGTTTGCTTCAGTAACCTGTTTTCCCCCAAAGAAGCCTTTTATTTAAGGAATACAAACTTCATTCATTTTATGAGTACAAATTTAGGAATATAGTGATTCTTCCTAGCATACCCCTCTCCACTCACACTCCCACTCCTCCTCCTCCTCCCTCTCCCATTCTTAGTCTCATTCTCCACTAAGATTCATTTTAGATTAACTTTATACACAGAAGACCAACTCTATACTAGGCAGAGTTCAACAATTTGCATAATAAAACAAAAGCAAAAGCAAAAACAAACAAACAAAAAAACCTGTTCCTCAACAGTCCAGACAAGGGCTGTTCAAAGTCATTGCATCTTGGGCTGGCGCCGCGGCTCACTAGGCTAATCCTCCGCCTTGCGGCACCGGCACACCGGGTTCTAGTCCTGGTCGGGGCGCCGGATTCTGTCCCGGTTGCCCCTCTTCCAGGCCAGCTCTCTGCTGTGGCCAGGGAGTGCAGTGGAGGATGGCCCAAGTGCTTGGGCCCTGTAACCCATGGGAGACCAGTATAAGCACCTGGCTCCTGGCTTCGGATCAGCGTGGTGCACTGGCCACAGCGGCCATTGGAGGGTGAACCAGTGGCAAAAGGAAGACCTTTCTCTCTGTCTCTCTCTCTCACTGTCCACTCTGCCTGTCAAAAAATAAATAAATAAATAAATAAATAAAAACAAAAGTCATTGCATCTCGAAGTTAATTTCACTTTTTTTTAGAAACTTAATTAACTTTAAAGAAGCACCCAAGAATGATACATCTTTTGCAAGCACTTAGACATAATTATAATACAACTCTTTGAAGACAGAGGTCCTGCATGGGAAGTTAGTGCACAGTGACTTCTGTTGTTGATTTAACAACTAACACTCTTATGTATGATGTCAGTGATCACCTGAGGCTCTTGACATGAGCTGCCTAGACTATGGAAGCCTTTTGAATCCACAAACTGTCAGTATTTAGACAAGGTCATAAGCAAAGTGGAAATTTTCTCCTCCCTTCTTTGATGACTGCTTTTTTCCTTCAGTAACCATATTACTATCTGTATATATCTGTACCATTATGTTGTATACCTTGAGTATATACAATTTTTTTTATTTGACATGTAGAATTATAGACAGTGACAGAAAGAGACAGAGAGAAAGGTCTTCCTTCCATTGGCTCACCCCACAAATGGCCGCTATGGCAGGTGCTGCGCCAATCCAAAGCCAGGAGCCAGGTGCCTCCTCCTGGTCTCCCATGCGGGTGCAGGGGCCCAAGCACTTGGGTCATCCTCCACTGCCCTCCTGGGCCACAGCAGAGAGCTGGACTGGAAAAGGGGCAACCGGGACTAGAACCCGGCACCCATATGGGATGCTGGCGCCGCAGGTGGAGGATTAACCAAGTGAGCCACGGCACTGGCCCCAATACAATTTATTTTTAAAAATAGGTGAAGGAGGACGGCACCGCAGCTCAATAGGCTAACCCTCAGCCTTGCGGCTCCAGCACAATGGGTTCTAGTCCCAGTCGGGGCACCGGATTCTGTCCCGGTTACCCCTCTTCCAGGCCAGCTTTCTGCTGTGGCCAGGGAGTGCAGTGGAGGATGGCCCAAGTGCTTGGGCCCTGTAACCCATGGGAGACCAGGATAAGCACCCGACTCCTGGCTTCGGATCAGCGCGGTGCACCGGCCACAGCGGCCATTGGAGGGTGAACCAACAGTAAAGGAAGACCTTTCTCTCTGTCTCTCTCTCTCATTGTCCACTCTGCCTGTCAAAAAAAAAAAAAAATAGGTGAAGGAAAAGAAGAATAAGTGACTAATATATTTGATTTTGTTTAACATGTGCACATTTGTTGTTTGTTTCAATCTGAAATACAAATACTAAAGTAATAAATTATAGTAAACAAATATTAAAGTATCTAGGAACTAATAGCTTTTCAGTAACCAAAATTATTTACATCCCTCTATGTAGATGCATTTTTCCAATTGTTCCTGAAACCCACCTGTTTGCATTTTTTTAGAATCATACTATTCTAGACCTAGAATGGGCTACAGGAGGTATCTATTTTACAGCCCAAATCAATAGTCACCAGTTTAGTGTTTGAACATCATCATACACAATTCTACAGATTGCATCCCCTCTCACCTGTCCTGGGCTTAATCATGTTTGCTACATACCCTAAAAGGGTAAATAGTTGTGGCATTGCCAGGGCAACAAGAGCTTCAGTGGAGTGGGACGGGGAAGTTTTGGATCGCAGAGGCCACAGGGCAGGGCGATGCTTGCTGCCCAGCGTGGAATTCCGTCTTCTCCGTGGCACAGACTTCCCCGTCCATGCCCTCATCCTGCCTTTCGAGGAGCTTCGCTGGGTTTCCCTAGGGGTCAAAGCGCAATGCGGGATCATCATTAATTCAGATCAAAGGCAACAGTAGTGAAAATTAATAACTGCCATTTATCAAAGGCCGACTGGGTGTGTATATTCTCTCTCTCTTTCCCTCTCTCTCTCTCTCTCTCTCTTGCGTGATGCAGAATTCTGACTATCATCTGGGATCACAGGGGCATGGGGAGCTCAGCTTTGGCCTCCCAGTTCCGCTGAAATCCTGCCTCTTGCCTTGGCTTCAGCTGCGGGCGCCCGCTTCCATGCTCTTTCTGGCCTCGCTGAACTTGTGCAGAATCAAGGTTCAGGGCTTGCCGAGCTTACTGTTGCATCTGATTATTGCAACATCAGTAAGACAAACTTGCAGATTTAGTGCTAACAGTGGAATATGAGTGGTCCCTGAATTTTTTTTTTTTTTTTTACTTTATGGTGGTGCAAAAGTGATATGCATTCAGTGGAAACCACCTTTGGAATTTTGAATTTGGATCTTTTCCAGGCCTTGTTCTGTGAGGCCCCAGGCTTTCTTGCATACTGAGCAGTGGCAGCCCCATCATCACCAGGGGCCATGACCCACGCTCCACAGAGTGCTCTGGGGCGAAGCTAGGGTGTGCAGTATGTTAAATGTACTCCCATGCATTTTCCACTTCGAATATTTTCAATATCATTGGGATGCAATCCTGTTGTAAGTGGAGGCTCATCTGCACAGGACTTACTTTCAAATAAAGGCAAGCATTCTATACGAATTGTTGAGTGCAAGGCTGCCTCTTTGTATTTAGAAACTGGAATTCTATGAGTCAGCAGAGAGTGAATCTATATTTATTATTGTAAGACGTGGTGAATGTGAAATCCATTAATTTTTTGTAAAATAAGGCATGCTAGCTTTTGGATACATATCCTTTTTTTGAGTCAACAAATGTTCATGCACATTTAAATGACAATAGATGGCAGAACTATGCAGATTAGTAGATGGAATCCCCATTTCAGACTTTGCAGAATTGTTTGATATACTGGCATCTTTAGCATTAATAAAGTGGCATTTGATGACTGTATTTATTGGTTTTCTTTTTACATTCTTCTTAAGCCATGATCCTGTTATGGAAAAATGCCCTTTTGAAATTCTTCAGTGTTTATAATCAGCATGTTTTTTTTCCCCCACTTAAAATGTCACAGGAGGATGGACTCACAAGTCATTCTCCCACAAGTTCCCTGGTAAATCATCTTTGATCCACACATGAGAAGACCAAATGCAGAAAAGTAGAATATTTCTTTTTTTTAAAAAAATATTTCTTTGAAAGGCAAAGAGAGAGCAACAGAAAACTTGAACCTAAGGTTCACTCCCCAGATGCCCACAGCAACCGGGGCTAAGCTGGGCCAATGTGAAGCCAGAAGCTGAGAACTGAATCCAGATCACCCACATAGGTGGCAGGGACCCAATTCCTTGAGCCATCACCTCTGCATCCTAGGGTCTGCATTGGCAAGAAGCTAGAACTGGGAGGGGGCCAGCACTGTGACGTAGCGGGTAAAGCCGCCACCTGCAGTGCCAGCATCCCATATGGGTGCTGGTTCGAGTCCCAGCTGCTCCACTTCTGATCCAGCTCTCCGCTATGGCCTGGGAAAGCAGAGCTGGAACTGGGAGCAGAGCCAGGACTTACAGCGAGGTGCTCCTGAGTGCAATGCGGGCACCCCGAGTGCCATCCTGATCGCTGCACCCAGTGCTCATCCCAAATACTTCTTTTTAAGTGAGCTACTCAAATACCTTGCTTCTCTTCCTATAACAGTCAAAAGTGGGCTCTACTTATTAACAGGTAGGTAGCTACCAAAGGAAAAATCTAGCCACTGATAGTGGAGAAATTATTTCTCTTCTCCATAGTGTTAAACGTATAACATTACACTGATAAAACTTTCAGGGTAAAATCACGTTAATGTGGTAGGTTAACTGAAGAAACAGCCCGAATGCTCTATCCCCACGCGTGTATCCATAGCTTGGCAATGGCTTTGCAGTTCTTTCTACCACTAGGTGGTGTCCATTTTCCACTCTGGATCTGGGCAGCCTTGTAACTTAATCCAGCCAACAGAAGGCAGCAGAAGGGACTGCTGCACCGGCCCTGAGCCCAGTTCTCAAGAGCTCTTGCATGCTTCTGCTCTCACTCCTTGGACCCTCCACACCTGCAGAACGAGCTCAGTCATCTGCAGGAGGACAAGCAGAGGACACAGTAGCAGCTGAGGGTATCCCACCCTGGCCAGTCCCAGCACACCTACCCAAGTGACTGCAGCCACAGCAGCTGAGTAGTTCAGCTGAGATCCGTGAGAGCAGGACTCCCTGGCTGCCTGCAGAATGGCAGAAAGACAACTGATAGAGTTAATGAGTGCTTATTTATATCAGTATCAGGCTTATTCTTTTATCCCAGGGGCCTCTGTCACTTTACAACTTGGCCACTTAGAATTAAGGTGAGGATTACCACTCCCAATGTATAAGGAACCACACAATAGAGCCTCATTATGGTCTGGAGCTTTCTCAGGTCCTAGTCCACGTCTATTTCACCCTAGAGCTGTGTGCATAACCACTGAGATACATCTTCACTCCAACACACAGTCTGGGATGAGCTCCAGCAAGAACAGAGAAGTCTCGAATATATGTGATGTTAGGAAATGAAGAAAGCTGCTCCCATGTGAAAACTACTGCCATGTATTAAATGCACCGAATTTTCTGGAAAAGGGGTTGGTATGGCAGGGAGTGTCATAATCTCATTGCAAACTGGCGGCCAGGAGAGCAATAAAAGTTTTGTGGGGTAGATGCTTGCCCTTGCATCAAGATTCCCATGCCAGGGCTTGCTCTGGGGGTAAAGCTACCACCTACAGTGCGGGCATCCCATACGGGCACTGGTTCAAGTCCCAGCTGCTCCACTTCTGATCCAGCTCCCTGCTAATACACCTGGGAAAGCAGTGGAAGATGGCTTATGTGGGAGATTCAGACGGAGTTTCATGCTCCAGCTTCGCAGCTGTTAGGGCCATTTGGAGAGTGAATCAGCAGGTATAAGATCTCTGCTTGGGGCCGGTGCTGTGGTGTAGTGGGGTAAGCCTCCACCTGTGGCACCAGCATCCCATATCGGTACTGGTTCGAGTCCTGGCTTCTCCTCTTCTGATCCAGCTCCCTGCTAATGGCCTGGAAAGCAGCAGAAGATGACCCAAGTACTTGGGCCCCTGCACCCACCTGGGAGACCTGGAATAAGCTCCTGGCTCCTGGCTTTGGATCCGCCAGCTCTGGCTGTTTTGGCCATTTGGGGAATGAACCAGCAGAGGGAAGACCTCTCTCTCTCTGTCTCTCCCTCTGTCTGTAATTCTACCTCTCAACAAAATAAAAATCTTAAAATAAATAAATAAATAAAACTTGGAACTTTAACAAAAAAAGATCTCTGCTCTGTCTGTAACTCTGCCTTTCAAATAAATAAATCAAATCTTTCTTTCTTTTTTTTTTTTTTAATTTGAGAGCCAGCGAGAGAGTCTCAGAAACAGAAAGCCTTCCATCCACTGGTTCACATCCGCCCCCGCTCCCCACCCCTCCAATGCTTGCAACAGGTAGAGCTGGACCAGGATGAAGCTGGGCACAGGGAACTCAACCTTGGGTTTCCCATGTGGGTAGCAGGGATTCAATTACCTGAGCCATCACCAGCTGTCTCCTAAGGTGTCCGCTGGCAGGAAGCTCCAACTGGGACTAGAGCCAGCTGTAGAAGCCAGGTTCTGCGACACAGGCCCTGGGCATTTTAACTGCCCTGCAATCCATTTTTAATACATCCCTTCCATGATTCTCATGGATGCTAAAGGCTGAGAGCCACGAGGCTAAAGGAGGCCTTTTTTTAAGGCACTTTAAGTTCAGATCTTGTTTCAGTCCAGAAAGGTGGAGAGAGGCGGCTCTTATCATCTTAGCTCTTTGCTCACGGCGGGGTCCTGTGGGAAGCCGGGGTTCCCTTGCTCCCTGGCTCAGTTTGGTAAATGAAAGCAGGCAGGGGAAAGTCACAGGAGAAGTTGCCGGCTGCTGGGTGAGGCCTGGGAACTCCTCCCCTGCACCTTCGGCAGAACCCTGCAGCCACCCTCACAAGCTCAAAGCACCTTGAACATGTGTCATGGGCCAACTATTTCCAAGCAAGATGCCTTGCCTCCAGCTGTGAAATTGATTAGTTGCCTTAACGTCCCAGAAGAGTGTCCATGGCAGCTAGGGTCGCTATTTTCAAACAGGACAACACCACAGTGTGTGAGAGGGGCAGGGCTGCAGGGCTGTGTATTCGGAACAGGAAAACACTTTTTTTTTTTCTGAAGTTGGGAGCTGGCACACACAGGGGGATCAGTGTGTGAAGAAATGCGATATCAATTTTATTATGTTGGATTTTTTTTTTGTTTGACTAGCCGAAACATACATTCCGTACCACAAAGCCACTTCTGAAATCAGTATCCAGTGCCGGCATTGCATATGGGCACCGGGTTCTAGTCCCAGTTGCTCCTCTTCCAGTCCAGCTCTCTGCTATGGCCTGGGAAAGCAGTAGAAGATGGCCCAAGTCCTTGGGCCCTGCACCTGCATGGGAGACCTGGAAGAAGCTCCTGGCTTCTGGCTTCGGATTGGCACAGCTCCAGCTGTTGTGTCCAACTGGGGAGTGAACCAGAGAATTGAAGACCTTTCTCTCTCTCTCTCTGCCTCTCCTTTTCTCTATGTAACTCTAACTTTCAAATAAATAAATAAATATTTTTAAAAAATGAGGTTGTGGAATTAGAAGAAGAAAAAGAAGATGGGAATTGGTCCACAGTGCCTCTGGGGAAGGTCTGGTCCTTGCCAACAGTGTGGCTGGTGAACTCCCTACTTGTATTCAGGAACATTCTATGGAGGGCAGGATAGAAATCAAACGTGCCTTATATAATATACGTGATGCACAGAAGTGATTACTCAGATCTGGTTTCTTTTTCCCTTGTCCTGGTCATTGTTTTTCATCAGAATGAGTTGTAAAGGTCCAATTAAAACCTGCCAGTCCCTTGCCCAGGGAAACTAAGCTTGTAGAAGAGTTCAGCCGTGGCCCATTGCATTCATCGTGCCCAGCCTTCACTTCCCCAGGTCATTGGTACATTTTCTAGTACTATTATGATACTCTGGTTTCTCTTCAGCTCATATAAATCTTTTGCCTTTTACTAATACTGTTAGGAAATACCTGAGGCTGGGTAACTTATAGAGGAAAGAGCTTCCTTTAGCTCACAGTTTCAGGCTTTGAAAGTCCAAACAGCTGACTCTTGTGAGGTCCCCACCTGCTGTCACCTCATAGCAGATGGCACCAGGAGTAGATGGCAAGACAGAGTCAGCAAGCAACAACCTCCCACTATGCCCCATCTCTTAAAGGCCCCCCGAACCCCACTTCTTGGAACTACCATACTGGGGACAAAGCTTCCAGCACATTAATCTTTGGAGGACAACTCAGAGCATCCAGAAGACACCTGCTGAGCACTCACCATGTGGCAGACATGCGCTGAACACAGGGATATACTTGCAAAAGGGTGGCCTAAAGGAAGGAGACTCATGTGGCAAAGAATTAAGTAAGATGTGGTGAGTAGGTGGGAGTGGATGGGTGCGATACTTTCTTCACTCATGGCCAAAAGTCCTGTAACGAAAAGGAGGTGAACGAGAGAAAAGCATCAGTTATTTAACCCAAGTTTTCCATGACACAGGCGCCTTCTTAGATGAAGACTCAAAGAACCAGGGAGAATTGTTTTTATGCTGAGGCTCCACGAAGCGTGGGGAGCCAGGAGGAGACGCATGTGGACGAACAGTGGAGACAGCAGCAAGGCCTGCCTCTCTGGGTGGTGTTCCCTCCCCACCCCACCCTCAGGGGAGGGGGGAAGATCCTCTGGAGTGAGGATCTTTAGGGGAGCAGGGGTACTGTGGCTTCCTGGGTTCCTGGCTGGTGCTGGAGGACAGGGGCTCTATGCCTGCTGTGGAGGAGGAGGAGGTAGGCGGGCAGAAGGAGGTTAGAATCTGTGGGGAATCCCACAGGAGTCTCAAAGAGTCACAGATCACCACTTCCCTGGAAAGGAGATGAACTGTGGAAACGCCACAGTAAAACATTGAGTTAAAACGTTACCACTAGCCACAAAATAAAAGTAAAGTGGAGTCATAAGTCAGGAGTGGAGGCAATACCTAACGGCTGTTAGGGAGACACTCCTACTCATACCAAGCAGACATCTCTGGTCAGTCAGATAACAGTGCGCTATGGGCAATACCCTCCTACCCACGCTGACTGGACTGTTCATACATATGTAAGGCAGGAACAGTATTGACTGGACTGTTCAACTGCAAGCAAGGAGGAAACACATTGATTGGACAACAAGTTGGAGGATGGCAAGCTGGAGGACTGCCAGAAAATGAGGATAAAAAGGGGAGCCCTTGCACCACTCTCCATCCTTTCGAGGATCATGGCCTGGTGCATGTAAACCACCGGGAGCGGAAGAAAGAACGGAGCTGAGCTGAGCTGTCACTGACGAGATCCTGACTCATTCCTGACCTGTCTGGCTTGCAATGCTGACATCCCCTATCGAGCACTGGTTTGAGCCTCAGCTGTTTAGCTTCTGATCCAGCTCCCTGCTGATGAACCTGGGAAAGCAGTGGAAGATGACGCAAGTACTTGGGCCTCTGCCACCCATGTGAGAGACCCAGATGGAGTTCTCAGTTTGGCCTGGCCCAGCCCCAACCACTGTAGCCATTTGGGAAGTAACTAGCAAAGATATTTCTTTATCTCTCTCTGCCTTTCAAATAAATAAATAAATCTTTGAATACATATATGTGGGAACTTCAAAATGTTTATGGAAAAATGGAACTAAAAGATAAGTTTTTAAGTCTTTTTACTTTTATGCCATATTTCATTTGCTAGTTCATTCCCCAAAGGCCTGCAACAAACAAGATTGGACCAGGTAGAAGCCAGGCACCCAGAATTCAGTCTGTCTTCCGCACGAGTGGCAGGGACCCAAGTACCTTGAGCCTGCTGCCTTCCAGGGTGTGCATTAGTAAGAAGCCAGAATCAGAAATGGAGCCGGGACTCCATTTGGGGTGCAGGCTTTCCAAGCCATGGCTTTACCACTGTGCCAGATGTCTGCCATCCTCTCTGTCTTACAATTTTGAAGTCCCCGGGTCGTAACCTTACTTCCTCCTAAAACCCCAGTTCCCTGCTGCCATCCGCTGTGCCTCTTGTCATCCCGGCTCCCCAGTTGGGTGGGGTGAGAATGCTGTGAGAAGAGGCCCCTCCCCAGAGCGCCCTCCCGAAGTGCATGGGCATCCCATGAATCCTATTCTTGGAAATGAGCCAGGGCAGAGCTTGGGGCCCGGCACGTGAGTGAAGTTCCTTCCCGGCTGTAATTGCCACCTTCGTTTTCTCCACAGGAGCTAAACTGCACAGTGAAGAACAGTAAGTCATCTCCCCTTGTTCCTCCTGGTGTGGCTGTGCTATAAAGCGATCGCCTCGTGCTGAGTTCTGACACGGGCCCCACCATCCCACCCCGGGGCCCGTGTGGCTGCACGCTCCGTGGGAGGCACTGTGGAGAGCCCTGGATGTGTGCACCCTGGAAGTCAGGAAATGAGGGATGGAACTGTGGGCTGGGTTTGGAAAGGATTCTCTGGGTGCTGCCCTAGTACAGCCGTAAGCCAGTTTCACTCACCACAACTTGCTTGTGGAAAGTCACAGACACCTGTACTGCTGGTCAGGTTTTGTTTAATTCCAGAAAAGGTACATATTTCAAGTGTCCTGACATACCTCATCCCTCCTGGGCCGTATTTCTAACCACTGCTTCATCTAAAAACCAACCTGCGTACTTTTTTTGGCTCCTAAAATGCCCTTTAGACATCAGAGCTTTGCAATAACCCAGGCAAGTACTGGAATAGTGGTAGTGGAGCTCTCTGGACCTGCTGCCGGGCCAACACAGGGCCTCTGTTTCAACTCTGATTCCCGCCTTTCCCTGCCAGGTACCTGCCTGGATGACAGCTGGATCCACCCTCGAAACCTGACCCCCTCATCACCTAAAGATGTCCAGATCCAGCTGCACTTGGCCTACACCCGGTCTGGAGACCTTGTCCCTGTGGTTCACGTCGAATGGATGCTACAGACAGATGGTGAGTGGGCGTATCATGGGATTCTGCCACCTCCATACCACCTGCCCCTTCTGATTCAGAGTTGGGTTCCCAAGCCTGTGTTCAGACACAAGGACCCAGATTCATAGCTGGAAGGATCCATCGTTGCATGCAGTTAATGCTTTTTCGGCACTTTAGATAGCAACCCCCAGTAATATCTTCTCATCACGCCGTCCTTCATAAAAGGCCTTCCTGCAGTCTGATTATCACTCTGGGGAGAGGGGAGGCAAGTAGTTAATCTTAGGACTACAGTGCCGAATACTTACTGGGAAAACGGTAACATATTGGCCAAGCCTGCTTTTTCCCTTCATTTAGGGGCCAACACTTTTAAAAACACATGCCCTGAACCTCTTCAGAGAGTGTTTGTGTTGCAGAACTGGGAGGATAAGGTGCTGTGAGAGCCACCCAGATCAGTGAACAGGGCATGGAGGAGGTTCTCCGTGTAAAGCCCCAGCCTGAATGCTCCCTGTGGCTGCAGGTGATACCCATGCCATGTTGCCCATGCCCAAGCCACAGATTTGCAAAGCCTGGTGGTTAAGATTGCCCATGTCCCAAGTCACAGTGCCTGGGCTCACTTCCCAGCTGTGCTTCTGGCTCCAGCTTCCTGCCAGTGCACACCCTGGAGGCAGCGGTGAGGACTCAAGTAGTTGAGTCTCTGCCACCCGTGTGGGAGACCAGGACCAGCCCTGTCTGTTGTGGATGAGAGCTCTTTCTTTCTGCCTCTCAAATGAATAAATAAAAGTAAAAGAAGCACATGTTACTCTAGCAAATGTGCTTTAAATATTCTGCTTTTGAAATGTGCAGAGCCTTCACTGAGAGCCCAGGACAAGGCGTCCTTGTCCTTGTCCGGTAGATGTGACTGTCCACACGCAGAGGCAAATCAAGGCCCCAGAGTGACCTGAGGAACAGGGAGCAGAGAGTTAGGCAAGACGGGAAGTGAGCAAGCATGGCAGAGAGGGAAGTGACACACCCTGTGGTTATGATGGCTGAGCTGCATCTGTTTGTCTCCTCTCCCGCACTCTGACCTTCAGCCAGCATCTTATACCTGGAGGGTGCAGAGCTATCCATCCTGCAGCTGAACACCAATGAGCGATTATGTGTCAAGTTTGAGTTTCTCCAGGTCTTCAAAGAGGGAGGTGCCTTTCTCTGAAGGGAGGAGAGAACCTCCACTTTGACTATGACCGTGTCTAAAGAAGAAAGGAGTCGGAGAACTCAAGGGGCTTCCATAGCCTTGGAAACTCATGACTGGTGCATAGGGAGATTACTGATGCCATAAACAGGAGTGTCAATTTGTAAAGTCAACAACAGGAGTCACTGTGCACTTACTCCTCATGTAGGATCTCTGTCCTTAATGTGCTGTACACTGAGGCTTAATGCTATAACGAGTACTCAAACAGTATATTTCACTTTGTGTTTCTATGAGGGTGCAAACGATTGAAATCTTTACTTAATGTACACTAAACTGATCTTCTGTAAAAAAAAAAAAAAAAAAAGAAATTATCAATTCCCAACTTGACTCTCACTGGGATTAAACATGACAATAGGTCTGATCTGATTTCATCATCATTTAAAAAAAATCATCTATTATTTTTCACTTTATGTTTCTGTGTGGGAGCAAACTGTTGAAATCCTTACTTAAGGTATACTAAGCTGATCTTCTGTATATTAAGATAATCGAAAATGAATCTTGATGTGAATGGAAGGGGAGAGGGAGTGGGAAAGGGGAGGGTTATGGGTGGGAGGGACGGTATGGGGGGGAAGCCATTGTAACACATGAGTCGTACTTTGGAAATTTATATTCATTAAATAAAAGATAAAAAAAAAAAAGTTTGAGTTTCTCTCCAGACTGAAGCATCACCACAGGCGGGTAAGGACAGAGCTCGTGAGCGCAGCGTGTGCCCTTCCCTGCCCCAGTGTGGACCTGCCCCCAAAGGCGGGCGCAGATTTACCATGGAGGCTGCTTCCAGGATGGGTGGTGTGTTTGTGGGCGCCTCCCTGACCTCCCAGCCTTGTGCTTTCTCCCCATTTTCCCTTTCCACTCTGCGAGGAAGTGGACTTGGCACATGACCTCCACAGCCCTGCCTCTTGCCATTTTTGTTTGCACCTGGAATTAATCTGGTGATGGCCACCAGGAATAAAACACGGTGTCCAGACCAAAGGGCTGCTGTGGGTGGCGCGGAGCTGCGAGTCCAGCGGTGGTTTCACCGCCAGATGGGAGAACGTTCTGCCTATTCAGTTTGCTTAAAGCAGTGGATCTCAGAGTTTGTGCCCTGGGGCAGCAGCATCAGCAGCCCCCCGGGGTTTGTGTATGTGAATACTTCAAAAAGTGCTTGGAAAATGGAGTTAAAAGATAAGTTCAGAGATGGGTATTTTATGTAGCAGTTAATACTCTGCTTGAGATTCCCACATTCCATCAGGGTACCAGTTTGAATCCTGGCTCCTTGGAGTCTGATCCGGCTTCCTGCTAATGCCTCTGGAAGGCAGCAGATGATGGCTCAAGTTCTTGGGCCTCTGCCACACCTGTGGGAGACCTGGATGGAGTTCTGGACTCCTGGCTTTGGGTCTGGTCCAGCCCTGACGTCTCTCTGTGTGAGACCCTCACCTGTCGGGCTGGAAGAGCCACAGTGTCTCTCAACACCTGATGAGTATGTCTGTTTATTAGCATTCAGGCACCAACTTTTATAGGGTAAGAGGGGGAGAAAAAACCTGGGGTAGTAATGGCGATTCTATAGGGCAGAAGGGGCAGCATGCCAAAAGACCCCTAACCAATCGACTTAAAGGTCATGTAGGCCCCTGGCCTGCTTTGTACAACCTGCCCACTTCTGGAATGTGGGAGTTGCTTATTGGCTCTCTGTTTATCAATCGTAAAGGCAGAGCCATAGGCTTCCAACAGGAAGGAAGGATGGGGGACATGGGCCTGGAGCTCCTGCTGCCTGCCAGCAGCCAGGCTGTGGGGTCCCTCCCAACCTCCCACGTGGGCAGGGCAGGCAGTCCCACAGGATCACCCACACAGCCCTAGCTGTTGCAAGCATTTGGGAGTGAACCAGCCAATGGAAGATATCTCTCTCTCTCTCTCTCTCTCTCTCTGCCTTTCAAGTAGTTGAAAATAAATAATTTTTTTTTTAAAAAAAGATAAGTTTAGGGGAGGGTGTTTGGTGTACCAGTTAAGATGCTGCTCCGGGGCCAGCACTGTGGTGTAGTAGGCTGGGCCTCTGCCTGTGGTGCTGGCATCCAATATGGGCACTGGTTTGTGTCCCAGCTGCTCCTCTTCCACTCTAGCTCTCTGCTAACAACCTTGGAAAGCAGTAGAGGATGGCCAACAGCTTGGGCCCCTGAACCCATGTGGGAGACTCAGAGGAGGCTCCTGGCTCCTAGCTTCGGATAGGTCCAGCTCTAGCCGTTGCGGCCATTTGAGGAGTGAACCATCAGATGGGAGATCTCACTCTCTCTCTCTCTTTTTCTATCTCTTTGTAACTCTGCCCTTCAAATAAATAAATTAAAAAAAGATGCTGCTTGGGATGCCTGCATCCCATGTCAGAGTACCTGGGTTCAAGTCCCACCTCAGCCTCTCGGTTCCAGCCTCCTACTAATGCACACCCTGTGAAGCAGCAGGCGATGGCATATGTGCTTGGGTCCCTGCCACCCAAATGGGAGACCTGGATTGAGTCTCCACTTCCAGGCTTCATCGTGGTCCAGCTGAGGCTGTTGCAGGCATTTGTGGGGTGAACCAGTGCATGGGAAGATTCTCTCTCTCTCTCCCTCTCTCCCTCTCTCCTTCTCTCCCTCTAACACACACACTTACTCACTCACTCACTCTCTCTGCCTTTCAAATAAACAAGTTTATTTTGATGTAAAAAAAAAAATTGGAATCCATACATATGAGGAATCTTCAAACGTTTCAGGGAAAATGCATATTGTGAAAAAACTATGCATGGATTTTAGAATTTTTTGCACCAAAATAAACTCAACTTTTAATTCCATTTTTCATGGACATTTTGAAGTACCCTCTTTTTTTTTAAGATTTTATTTTTTTACTTGAAAGTCAGAGTTACAGAGAAGCAGAGACAGAGAGTGAGAGAGGTCTTCCATCCATTGGTTCATTCCCCAGATGGCCTCAATGGCCAGAGCTAGGCTGATCCAAAGCCAGTAGGTTCCTCCAGGTCTGCCACATGGGTGCAGGGGCCCAAGCACTTGGACCATCTTCCGCTGCTTTCCCAGGCCATAGCAGAGAGCTGGATGGGAAGAGGAGCAGCCGGGACTAGAACCGGCGCCTATATGGGATGTTGGCATTGCAGGTAGTGGCCTTACCCACTCTGCCACATGTTAGTCCCTACCCTCATATTTTTTTTTTTTTTTTGCTTTCTTTTTTTTTTTTTTTTAGAAATATAATGTAAAGTTTATTGGGAAATTTTATGTTATTTACATATACATATATATTTATTGGGAAAAATGTATC